CCGCTTCTTACTAGCCGATAATCTACATACCGGTTTTTCCCGTCAAAGCTGTCCGTAATTGACGGTCAGCCGGTTGTGGCGCAACGCAGTTCCAAGTTTTATTAGCATTACACCGCCACTTATCTCATTTTACTTTCTCTATGTTCTGTAGTTTTCAACGGGGCTTACATTTTGTTGCCAACATACTACAATGTGGGAATTTTAGTTAGACCAACTTATCTGCATACTACACATGCTATCTCTTTCCAACCCACGGACACATGATAAGATTAGATAACCCTTTGTTTGGTTCAAGTTGTTTCGTAAGGTTGGCAATATTAATCAGTTGACACAGTTCATGTAGTTTGCGCAGCTAACGGATTTACAAAAATGTCTGCCAATTGATACCTACGCACGTCTAATATTATAATACGCTCCATAAGTGGTGCCGCCACTAATTAGACAGATTCAGGGACTGTATCTAAACAAAGTAAATTTGCATTGGCGTTAGATACGAAGTTTCCAAAGTGTGCTGATTATTTTAACAGTGAAGAAAAAGAAGGTGGCGACGCACCTTTAATTAAAAAGAAGATTAAGAATGTGAATGTATATTCAAAAATAAGTTCACTAAATAAACGTAATATACAGTCCAAAACATTGGTTTATCCGAACCGGATAACTAATCAGCAAAAAGTAAATAAATATACCCAAAAAAATATTGAGGAAAGCGGTGTCGCGATTGAAATTCCACGTGCATACAATTTATTGCATGCAAATTAAAGGAAGACAATTAGTACAATTGAAAGTGAGAAATAGAAAGGTATTTTTATTTGACCCATTAAGATGTCCGAAGAATTAAATTTGAAAGTTAGGAAAACCTCGCTTAAAAGTAAACTTTCAAGGTCCTTCTTAGACAACATTAATAAAAATTCATTAAATTAGGACTAATCTCAGTGACAGAATGACGATTAGAAACCATCCAGAATTGTTTATCTGAGTTTAGTAAAATTATCTCGCAATTAGTTGCCTTAGAAAATGGCAATGAAGAAGCGTTTTCCGCAGAAGAGACTAAGCAAAGGAAATTTATTTTGTAGGATATTTAATAAGGGATTCGAAATGGTTTCGGTCGCGGGAATTACGTGTATCAAACGACGAACAAACTTTTTATAAAAAGTTTATTTCTTTACTACAATTAGTTTGTTCAGAATTCAGAGCAAGAATGAATATAATAATTGTTGTACTTAAAAATGTAAAGTTATGTTAGAGTCTTTTGTCAGCAGTTCTCACGTTCAGGTGTGAACTGCTGCACCTTGATTACTTCCAGCATACTACATATGTAACTCCTCCCCTCTTAAGCGGCAAACATAACGGATGGTGTTTGACGTTCGGCTGTGTGGGGTTGAATGGGTTGGCTTCTTCTGGAA